AGTGTAGATATCGGCCTAGCGTCTGCCAGCGTCCACCAGCGTTCACCAGCGACTGGGAGCAGAGAGTATGGGGAAGTAGGAGGATAGCAAACAGCTGGATCGTGAAATTGCGGCTGCGCAACCGCACTACACAGCTGCTAAAGCGCAGAATTATGCAGTTAAAATACGGTGTAATGTAGTTGTAGGTGCGTTTGCACATGCCTTTACTTTCCTAGACGCCGACGCTCTCGGACGCTAGGAACGCCAGTGGTTGCTGGCGAACGCTGGTAGACGCTGTTGGACGCTGCAGTAAAGTATGAACGCAGCCTAATAGTAACTTCCAATCATATCCCAAAATTTTTCAGGTATCTTCTATATATGTATCATCATTCTACATGTTTATCGGTCGTGGTGATGTCTACGTAGAAAGGGAACAAACGACACTCATGATTGTCTCTTATTTGATGATGGCCTCGAATGTTGGCGGTGTAGTGGTGAGACAGTACTAGTTTTCACGCATTCTTTGTTGAGCAATGCATTTTTGGGATGCGCCATGCATGCCGACTCTATGGTGCTGCTAAAGTCGCAATCAGTCAGGGAGGTGTCAGGAGGGCGGAGTTAACTTGTTTCTGGCTGTCTTGTTTTACCAATGATGGTCGTTTACTGCTCGGTTTAGAAGGAAAACCACCAGTGGTGGAAACGCCATTAGAGGGCTCATTTCGTCCCTCCTAAAGCCGCCCCGTCTTGTTGCTGCGTTAGGCTGCGTTCATACTCTGTGTTCGCCAGCGACCAAGAGCGTTTCCAGCGTCCCGCAGCGTCAACGACTAGGAAAATTATAACGTCTGCCATCGTCTACCAGAGTCTGCCAGCGTCCGGGAGTGGGGAGTGTGGCGCGATAGGAGGATAACAGACAGCTGGTACCTTCCTATCGCAACACACTCTCTACCAACAGGTTGCTGGTCGCTGCTGGACGCCAGTGGACGCTGGCAGCCGCTAGATCGCTATCTGTGCTTTATCGCGCGCTGACGCTGCTGGACGCTGCCACAAAGTATGAACGCAGCCTCATCAACTGTAACTTGACACTCGAAGCTCAGTAGACCATTTTCTATTTCAGCTTCTTCGCATCACCCAGATAATGTCGAAACGTCATCTGACCAGCCCTGATCGGGCACTTTCGACAAGTTACCAGTGCAAGGAAAATCTGAGAGTGGTTAAACTTATATCACCAGTCTACGTGTTACTGTTTTTTACTCGCCTCTGTCAATTCGGCTTTTCGAATGTACGTCTACTACGTTGGCCTCGACCTTGGAGCATTCCTTATGCGATTACTCGCACATATGTACAATTTGGTAAGTTTTTTTTCAATAATTGGGGCAGAACACAGCCCAAATGAATAGCCACTTCATGATTTCTTTGACAAATCTCTATTACAGTCTCTCGCAGTGGGCGTGTTCCTGACACCTTTTCTACTAATCGTCCTACAGCCACCACTGCTCGGCATGTTCTACAAACGACACGTACGGAGATTGAGCTACGTTGAGGCGGATCACAACAAAAACACTGTCACTTACTTTGAAGATCTCAAAAAGATGTGGGGGAAGTGACAAAAGGCATTGTCACACACGCTGGCGGTCGAACAGCTGAACAGCTGCCCATCATCTTTCATAAGAATGCTACCATCTGAAGCAACGCCAAAGAAGGGATGCTGCGCCAAATGAATCTACTCAAATGTGAAAAGAACAGGGGGAATTACAGGGAATCTTCGCGCGGCGTCGCCGGGGCACCACCCAGCGTTGGGGAGGTTCTCGTTGGGAAGAGATACGATCCACCCCCCACAACTTCACCCTTGGTATGACCCTCTTCGCCGTGCTGCCTGATATCTTACTGACGTGGACTTCCTACCAGTTTTCTGGCATGTTTAATGAAAATCGCCGTCGAGCTCAGAGGGGAGGTGGATGGGGAAATATAGCGCACTTGAAACAGAAAAAAACCCGAGAAAAGCCAACGATCGGAAGTATTCCCCTAAGCAAACACGACCCTCCCCCTCTCTTCGACGTGCAAATACGACCTTTCTCGCTGGGGATCCCCAATGTAAATCGTTCCCTCGACGTGGCGCACCAAGCATAAGAGTATTTCCTAGCGAGATGACTCGAAGCGGTTCAATAGGTAGGTTCAGTCCAGTCGCAGATTAGGCGAGTAGGATTCTGGAAGGGTCGTGCCGCTAGTGACGCCTCTTTTGCCGCCCGGATGTGCTGAGCTACACTTAAAAGAACCTCATGGAAGGATCAACGGGAATGAAGATTCCCCCCCCCCCCCCGTGAAAATTAGTTCACAGCATAGGACAGGTTACTATAGACAAGCGTATTCTATGAAAGCCGTGTTCTTGTTTTGCTAATTGAGCGGTTCGGCTACGGAATTGGGAATAGAATGACGTGCTCCACAGCCAACCCTTGGACCCCTACAAGTTAAAAAGGAGCTGATCTGCTCTATTTCCGAGGCCAAGGCGCATCTTCGAATCTAGACAATAATTTACTGTTGTTTGAAAATTAGTAAAAAAAATAAGATTGTATGGAAAGGCTAAAAAGCTGAATCTGTATCTAGAAACGTTTCGCTGGCTTTGAGGCATGCGTCTCTACGACCTCGCAAATAAATACGCGTCATGCCCCATAAACTACGGCGCAATGCATGCGACAGGACTAAAAGTTGCAACGGTCCAACTATTAACGGTGGAGCATGATCAGTGGCGATCGCGTGGGAATCGCTAGAGTTGCCAAGTGCGAACGGCTTAATATGGGTCGTGAAATGACAGCAAGATTACGATCGTTAAAATGGGTACTTTGATCCGCTAATCAGATGTTGTACTTTTTGTTGTGTAAATGAATATTCTGACTGGATCATGCTCTCGTGTATAAGCATTCAGCGATTTCTTCTAGGCCTCGATGAGGTCCAAAGGTGTACTATCCTTCGTTTCATCAATCTTCAGTACTGAATGACACTCGCTCAGGCTGCGTTCATACTTTGCGGCAGCATCTACCAGCGACAACTAGCGTTTGCCCCGTCTACCAGCGTCCACGGGCGTCTGCCAGCGTCCCGAAGGTTAGGAAAGTATAGGTCTTGACGTAGCGTTTACCAGCGTCCACCAGTGTTCAACAGCGCTCACCAGCCACCGGGAGTAGAGTACGCTAAAGTAGAAGGGTAGCAAACAGCTGAAACTTATACTTCCCTAGCCCTTGAAGCGCTGGTGGTCTCCAGCAGATGCTAGCAGACGCACGATGGATATCTATACTTTCCTAATCGCTGACGCTGCCGGACGCTCGGAAAGCTAGTGGTCGGTGGTGGACGCTAGTAGACGCTGTTGGACGCTGTCGCAAAGTATGAACGCAGCCTTATGTCACCCTTGTAGTCACTTGTAAAACATATCTCCCCTGTGACTTCCAAAGCGACAGTACTCTGCCTAAGGGTTCATCGGCAAAAGACGAGTCTAAAAGGAACGTAGTTGAACTGGAAGCCGCAAAGACCGTGATGGTACAGCTGTAACGGCTCAACGGCTCGGTATGCTTTCACACAGGCACCGAAATCAGAATGAGTAATGAAAACAGTTGTTCACAAGTAGCTGCGCATCCGGGTTTCTCTCGATCCTCCCGCTAACCTCCAGATGCCATAGTTGGCTGAATAACAGCGAATTCCTTCACTACCACAGCGACATGAAGAAATTCATGTGGCACAGATTATCCCTGTAAATATTCAGGGAGCAGTAGATTACGGTAAGCGCTATTTATCATGAATAGAATCGACTCATCTATGACTAACCGCCAATTATGCAAAGCCACTGTCGTTGGC